AACCATTAGTAGCAGGCACTGCCTATTTCTCTCTACCCCTCTAGCTCCTCTCAGCTACCATTCTATTTTCTGTATCTATGGATTTGCCTCTTCTGGACACTTTATATAAATGAAATTTTAAATATGTGTCCTTTTCTATACAGCTTCTCTCACATAGCACAATGACACACTGTACCATGTATCAATAATTCATCCCTTCTTATTGCTTAATAATATTCCATTGCATGGATATACCATTTTTGTGTATTTATTCATCAGTTGATGGAACATCTGGTGTTTCTACTTTTCAGTTGCTATGAACAATGCTATAAAAATTCATGTACACATTTTTGTTTAGACATATATTTTTAATTCTCTGGGTTATGTACTTAGAAGTAGAATTGCTGGGCCATATGATAACCCTAGGTTTACATTTTTGGGAAAATTCCATTCTATTTTCCAAAGCAGGCACATTATTTTACAAACCCACTAGCAACATATGAGGGTTCTAATTTCCCCACATCCTTGCTAACACTTGTTATTGTCTGTATTTTTTATTACAGCCATCCTAGTGGGTGTAAAGTAGTATCTCTTTTTCATTTTGTCTTGCATTTCAGTATTGACTACTAATGTTGAGCTGTTTTCATGTGCTAATTAGCCAATTATACATTTTCTTTGTAGAAATGTCTATTCAAATCCTTTTCCCATTTTAAAATTGGATTATTGTCTTTTTATTGCTCAGTTGTTATATATTCTGGGTATAAGTTCCTCAGAAGACACATAATTTGTAAATATCTCCTGTATCTGTGGATTGACTTTTCAATTTCTTGATAATGTCTTTTGAAGAACAAAGATTTTTTTTTTTAATTTACTGATTTGCGAGAGAGAAACCTCAATTTGTTGTTCCACTTATTTAAGTTTTCATTGGTTAATTCTTGTATGTGCCCTGACTGGGATCGAACACACAACGGTGGCATATCAGAATGGCATTCTAACCAACTGAGCTACCTGGCCAGGGCAGAACAAAGATTTTTAATTTTGATGATTTTCGTCTTACCTATTTTTTCTTTTTTCACTGTCCTTTTGGTGTCAAATAAAAACACTGCTTAATACAAAGTCACAAAGATTTATACCTTTGTTTCCTTCTATGAGTTTTATCATTTTAATTGTTAAATTTAGGTCTTTTATCCATTTTGAGTTAGTTTTTAGATAGTCTGAGAAATACGAGTCCAACTTCATTCTTTTGTATGTGAACAACTACTTGTCTTAGCATCATTTGTTGAAAGACTATTCTTTCACTATTGTGTTGGTTTCCTTGTTAAACATAAATAGACCATAATGCAAAGGTTTACTTCTGTATTCTCAATTCTATATTGTTGATTTATATGTCTATCCTTAAACCAGAGCCATATAGTTAAAAAATCAGCTTTCAATTTCATTGATGTTTGTCTAGTGTTTTTATACTTTATATTTCATTTTCATTTATTTCTGCTCTAATCTTTATTATACCCCTTCTTCTTCTTGCTTTAGGTTTAACTTGTTTTTCATTCCCTAGTGTCTTTAGGTGGAAGGTTAAATTATTTATTTGACTTTTTTATTTTTTAATACAGGTATTTTATAGTTATAAATTTTCCTCTAAGCCCAGCTTTAGCTGCATCTCATAAGTTTTGATGTGTTACATCTTTATCTGTGTTCATCTCAAAGTATAAATTCCCCTTTGATTTCTTTTCTGACCCATTCACTATTTAAAATTGTATTATTCAATTTACACATATTTGAGTTTCCCAAATTTGTATTTATTTCTAATTTCATTCCATTATTGTTACAGAACTTACTATGTATAATTTCTATCCTATTAAATTTATGAAGTTTTTTTTATAGCTTAGCATAAAGTTTATCCTGGAAAATGTTCTACGTACACTGCAGAAGAATGTATTTTCTATTGTTGAATGGAGTGTTCTACTGGTTTGTTAGTTTATGCTGTTTTTCAAATCCTCATTTTTTTTTTTTTATCTTCTGCCTAGACCTATTCATTATTTACCTAGTCAAATACCTATTACTGTGTAATCATCTATTTCTCCCTTCATTTTTGGCAGGTTTTGCTTCATGTATTTTGAGGTCTATTCTTAAGTGTATATGTGCTTCTAATTGCTATACCTTAATGAACTGACTTTTTTATCATTATCAAATGTCCTTCTTTGTCTCTAGTAGCAAGTTTCGTCTTGAAGTTAATTTTGTCTGTTATCGGAATAGCCACTCCAGTTCTCTTTTGGGTGCTGTTTATATAATACTACATCTTTTTCTTCCTTTGCTTTCAATCTAATTGGATCTTTGAATTTTGTTTTGTTTTAATACACTCTTACAATCTCTGACTTTTGATTGGAATGTTTCATCCATTCACATTTTATAAATCCATTCACATGTATTATTGTTATAGTGGATTTACGTCTGCCATTTTGCTTACTTTTATAGGTCACGTACCCTTTTTTGCTCTATTCTTCCTTTGTTATCGTTGCATTAAGTGTATATTTTATACTTCAGAATTTTAATTTCTTTAATTATTTTTCATCACATTTTGAGTTATTTGCTTAGTGGCTGCTGTAGGCCTCAACATATACTTCTTATCAGAAACAACTTCAGATTTATACTAACCTAATTCCAGTGAGCTATAGAAACATTACTCCTACACAGCTGAGGTGTCTTGCTCTCCCTTTTGTGACATTGTTGTTACACAAATTACACTTACAAATGTCACGAACTCAAAAATACATTATTATAATTATTACTTTACATAATTTTCTGTCTTTTAAAGAATTTAAGAGGACAACAATTATATTTTCATTGGTTTGTTAATATTCTTTTCATTTCCAGCTCCATTTGTCCCTGTGAATTCAAATTATCACCTGGAATATTTCCTTCACCCAATGCAGCATTGCTCCCATCTGTCTCCTTTGTGCTATTATTAGAAAATATATTTCATTTATATATGTTAGAGGCCCAACAATACATTACATTCATCATTTTATACATTGCTTTGTAAAAGAAAAATGTTCTTTTACTATCTCTTATAATTACCTTTACTATTGCTCTTTAATTTTTTTTCTTTTTTCTTTTATTTTTTGGAGTAGATTCAAATTATAGTCTGGGTCACTTGCTTTCAACCTTGAGAACTTCCTTTAGTATCTCTTATAAGTGAGTCTGTCAGCAACAAATTCTCCCATCTTTATCTGTAAATGTCTTTATTCTACCACCCGTTTTGAAAGATACAAGATTCTTGGTTGACAGATATTTCCCCCCCCTTTGAGTATTTTGAACATGTTCTCCCACTACCTTTATGTCTCCATTGTTTCTGTTGAAAAGTCACTTGTTACTCTTTTGGGGATTCTCTTGTAAGTGGTGAGTTGTTTTTCTCTTGATGCTTTCAAGATTTTCTCCTTGTTTTTACCTTTCAGAGTTTGTATATGATTCATTTATTTTTAGGTCTCTTGCATGTATTTTATTTATAGTTAAATGAGCCTCCTAGAGAAATAGATTAATGTTTTAAATATGGGAACTTTTTAGCCACTATTTTTTCAAATACTTCTCCTTTCTCTTTTCTTCTTCTCCCATCATGCATATGTTAGTGTGCTTAATAGTGTCCCATATTTTTTTGAGGTTCTGTTCTTTTTTTTCTCTCTGTTCTTTGGATTATAGAACCTCTACTGATCTATCTTCAAGTTTGCTAACTCTTTCTTTTACCAGTTCTAACTTTCTATTGAGTCCTACTAGTGAATTTTTCATTTCAGTTGTGTTTTTCAACTCCAGAATTTCCATTTGGTTCTTTATATTTTATATCTCTTTGTTTATATTATCTTTTTGATGCAATCTCATTGTCATACTTTCCTTACTTTTTAAATCATGGTTTCCTTCTAGTTCTGTGAAAATAATTAAAATGGCTACTATGAAGTCTTTGTCTGTTAGATCTGACATCTGGTCACGGTCATAGGCAGCTTCTATTGCTTGCTTTTCCCCCTCACTATATGTATTACACTTTTCCTCTGCATGTCCTCTAATTTTTTGTTGGAAACTGGACATTTTAGATAACGTTGTAAGAACTCTAGGTACTTGTCCATCTCCTTTCCTCCAGGACGTGCTATTGTTATTTCCTTGTGTACTTGTTTCCTGACTGGTTGAATTATTTTAGTGAAATCTGTTTCCCTTTTTCTCCCATAATTTGTATTAAACCAAATATGAAATATTGTGCTCAGTCTTGAATGTCACATTTGAAGAATACTAACAAATAAAAGATACAAAGCTTCCAGGATAGAGAGGGTTTCAACATGTCATAAACAAAAGGCTCAGGGACTTGAGGATATTTTATATGAAGTTGACCAGACTAATAGGATAGAAAGGACACAGAGTTACTGACTTCAAAGTTCTGAAGTGCTAAAGAGAAGGAGGTGGGAGTCATAGAATGTAGAAAAACATATAAACATTATAGGCACAGACTTTAGCTCAAACATAAGGAAGAATATTTTAAACAAGCAATTCAACTACGGTTTGTGTTACCTTATAAAATAATGAGGCTTCCATTTTTAAGCATAAGTTACAAACTGTCACAACTATATTCCTTGTTTGGGAGGGGAGGTGTTAGTAGAAGAGCATATTTTCTGTGACAGTCAAAAACTCGGGCCTTGAATATAGCCAGCCAGCCATTGTGATAAAATGCAAAGTACTTTACATGCCTATAAACATAAATAACAAATGAAGAACTATTCATTTCCAGAAACAGGTATTTACAAAGAAACTTTCTTAAATGTTTCCCTACCAAACAGTTCCTCTGAGATTGCTATTTTAAAGTATTTTCCTGCTTAGTCACATGTCTGGTAGATTACAACATAAACCACTGAGAGGATTAATTTGAATCTCTTCATTCTCTCATGTACTTGCTTTAAAATATTAAAATAAAGTAATTTATTTCAAGAGTTCCTCAATTCTTACACAGTATTTTTAAAATAAAATAATTGATATCCAGAACTCACCAGAAGAAATCTTACCAGCACCTTTACAGTCAACAGAAAATGCAGATGGGACTCCATTGGCTGACCCCAGTTCACACATGGAAATTTGATAAGGGGGTCTCAGCTTGATTTCCGTCTGCATGTCAGACAGATTTATCTTTGTCGAAAGAGACCTGGGATTATTATATCGCTGCTTGGTCCTCTGAATGAAGTTATCTATGTAAAATAAAAATAAATTTCCTTGCAGTCATTTGTTAATTTGATAATTTGAGAGCGTTAGGTTTACAGATAGTAAATTTTGCAGATAGAGTGTTTGTTATCCCAAACTGTTCAACTGTCATGGAGTTCTCTGATATTATTGATGTTTAATGGTTAACATATCCTAAAGTTATATGGTAGAAATTACTAATTGTTAGTAATGACTTAACATTATGTGACTGTGAGAATATATCTACTATTATACCCATTCAAGGAATTACTTTGAACTTCTAAAACAATACAATAACAGCTTTAATCTTTAAACCAAAATCTTCATTTGTATAGGGATTCATATCTCATGAAATAGTAAGTGTGTAGTTATCAGTTGTAATTACATAAGAACATACACTATAAATTGCATGTTCTTATAAATCTGTTTTTCTTATTTATTGCTTACACCATTAGAATGAACACTTAAAAAGTAAATTTAATGACGTTAAAGGCATTTCCTAAATATCTTCTAAGATATTTCCTAAATAATATTCCAATTTTATTTTCACTGTTTATAGCCTGCTGACTATATTTTTGTAAATAAAGTTTTATTAGAATATAACTACAACAGTCATTTTTGTATTGCCTATGGCTGCTTTCCAGTTATAATGGCAGGGCTGAGTGGTTGTGACAGAGAACATATGGTGCTTAAAACCTAAAATATGTACTATACGGTCCCATCCAGCAAATGTTTGCCAACCACTGTTCTATATTACGCAGACTATAAAAGATCATCACATAAACACAAAATTCTGAATCTCTGGCTTATAAATTTCTCATTGAGAAACTATCCCCTGGGATTAATTCTTTGTGCCAATAATGACAATGCCCTCCACAGCTCAAACATGTTTTTTCTAACATGTACCTAAATGAAGACATCACCACAATTTATAGACCACTTGTCAAATTATTCTATCAAAAGCAAGGTAGCAGAATTTTCTGAATTTCCCCCTGCCCCCTCCCTCCCGCCAGTGTTAGATAAAAAATAGCTAATAACTGGCTGGAGATAGGATAATGAAAAGGAAAAAAATCAGGCCCTTACCAAATTCAATGAAACAGTATGGTCTGACAGCAGTGTTTGTCTTCATCATGTTATAAGTAGTAATGAACTCCTTCTGAAGCTCATCCAGGAATGAGAAGGCCAGAACGTTTGGGTAATTTTCAGTGCACAACATCATGTAGCTCACTCCCAGAGAGCTAATAAAACTACAGTGTAAAAAACATTGGTTTTAAAATTTCAAAGTAAGTCAAGGTAATTCGTTGCTTCAAAAGACTGGTCCTATTACATCATAAACTGCTGCTACAGTGGAAATGAAAATATTAACATTATATATTCCAGCTAAAAAATTAAAGAAACTAAAATATAATACTATTTTCAGTTATGATTTAAAAACAGTAGAGAAAGAGAGGAAGAGAGAGAGAAAGAGAGAGGAAGAGAGAGAGAAAGAAGGAAGGAAGGAAGGAAGGAATCTATAGAGGAACACATACTATGGTTCTAACACTTCAGTTATTTGTTACTCGGAGTGGTTCTAACACTTTAGTTATTTATTACTTAGGGTAGAAAGCAGTGGAATAGAAGAATATACAAATATGTAAGAGTTACAGATAGCTAAATGTTTAACCCTTCCACCTAGCACAACTTAATCCTGTTTGAATCAAGAACCCTGTAGATTCTGATGAAAGTTATAGACAGTCTCCTGAGAAAGAAGTTCAAAAACACAGAACTTGGCAGATATACATTCTCAGAGGTTACTGACCTCCTAAAGTCATCCACTAAATCCAGAATCAAATCCTCTACTTCACATAGTAATGAATTATGAACCATAGAGGGAAAGACAGAGGAATTTATGAGGTCATAACAACAACAAATAAAAGGGTTTGGGGAAAAGAAGTACAACTGCTTACAGCAGAATGCTGACTGCCAGCTGGTAAATGCGGAGGTAGTACTAGGTAGTACAAAAAAAATCAGCTTTTTGCAACCAACGTAATGAAGATTGGACCAAGCAAGGTCAATCAATGGATGGTAAATCTAGGTGAAAATTTTGATGAGGAAAAGGAAATTCTGTATGGTTTTAAATGTATTCCCATGGACTGCTTATTGGTTGCAAAGGAAAAATATTTATTATACAGTAGAAACTAGATCACACCTTGACCAAGTACTCTAACATGACAATGGGGGCAGGCAGATAGATTTCCTGTGTCTCAGGATGAGATATTCTCTGCATGATGTATCAGTTATATAGTATTCTGGATAAGAATACATAATCTGAATCTAATCGTGAAGAAATATCAGAATAATATTCTGTTTTTTAAATCTTAATGTTGCACAAAAGAAATAAAGGATGTGGAAATGTTTCTGATTAAAGGAGGCTAAAGAGACACAATTAAATGTAATACTTAACCCTAATCTAGATCCTGTGCCAGAGTGGGAGGTAAAAACGCTATGAAGGAATTCCTGGGTCAACTGACAAAAACGGAAAACAGGCAGATTGGAAAAAAGTATGGTATTGATATTAAATTTACTGGTGCTAATAACTATGCTATAGTTAAGTAAGAGAATATCCCTAATTGTAGAAAATATACTTTGAAGTAGTTAGGAATAAAGAGTTATGTTATTTGTAAGTTTCTCTCAAATGATTCAGAAAAAAATAAATCTAGTAAATACATAGATGAGTAAAACAATAAAGCAAATGAAGTTAAATGTTAACAGAAGGTAAGCCTGAGAACAGGTATTATTTGTTTTTTTCCTCTTTTTGCAGCTTTGCTGTAAGTTTGAAATTATTTCTAAATAAGGAGTTAAAAATACAAAACAAAAAGCTTTTACTTTAAGCACTGAAATATTTAACCACATTCTATGGAAAAAAAACCTTTCTAGAATAAAGTATATATCCCCCTATGACAAGCCAAGCATGGGACACAAATTTACCCTTCTTAACGAGTCACTTAAACATTTTTTTAAAGTACTGTCAACACAGCCAGTCTAGATCGAGGGCAGCAAACAAAGCATACAGGCTGTAAGCCCTATCGCCCACAGCAATCTGCAGTGGCAAACTCTCATCTATATTGGAGTCCCCTCCGCCCTTTTTTTCTCTAACAATGTGGAAGCAGAATTTATTCATTTAGAATATATGATATTCACATGATTCAAATTTTAAAAGAATGAAAAATGAAATAAAACACTGTAATTAAAGTGCCTTATCCCCATCCCTGCCCACAGATACCCACTTCTCTGCCCCCAAACAATTTGTTATTAATTTCTTATGTATTCTTTCAGTAAGAGTTTATGCGTATGCAAATATCTTCCTGCCATCCTTCCTTCCTACTCTCGTTCTTGCCCCCTTCTTTAAAGACCATCCCAGGCAGTCAAGTGATGTGGGGTTGGCACCTATTAATCATCAATTACTAATGGTGTGGGACATACTTCTGGTGAAATTGTGCTGATCTTATATTTCTGGAATAAATTGGAATTCTGTTCCGAAGTGCCACTTAGTATATAGTCATTTGATACAATATTTTTTACACTACAAGTTGTGACTCATCAGGTAATAAAATTAGTTTAGTGAATTACACACAGCATTTTCCTTAAAACTGAAATAGAATATAACAGAAAATACTGGAACATATATTGTTTCATAAAACTTTTGTTTTAGTTTTCCCATTTGTATATATAGGTAGTGTTCACAAAGTAAAATATATCTCTTCATATGGGTGATAGTCATAAAAGTTTAGCTATGACATACTACATTTTTCTACAAAACTAATAACTAAAGACCAAACAATGTTTCTCCCAAGTGATTTTTCTTTCCAAAAAAAAAAAAAAAATCTTCACTATCATTTTCATTAGCATTCAAATATACCCAAGGATAACTCCAATTGGGATAGAACACAATTGGTGATTGGCTTCCACACACTAGGAACTCCCAAATGGCTAGCTAAGAGTTATTTCATTATCCTCCAATAACATGACTGAAGCTTTTGGACTTCATTCTTTGTATCAGGGCAGGGTTTTTATTATATTTACATATTGATAACAGAGTGAACCAAAAGCATGTATATGACAGTTTATCCCAAATTATTTTTTTTCTTGCACTAAATTTAACAGAGAATTATATGTGAAATAAAGGAAAACCTATGTTTTTAAGATTTTATGTAGCATTCTCAAGGATTCTTTATTCCAAAGTCTTTGTTTTACTATAATTACATTATACTCTCTGAAAAGGCTATAAAGTGTTCCATAATCTTATGGCTTTTCACAGAGAATTTGGCCTTACAATGCTGTCTTTCTTTGAAATGCAAAGACAGTTTTCCAAAAGTACACACAGCTCAGTTGATTTACCTTTGTTATCAAAAGAATTCTGCTTTTTCAGCTCTCACTGGGACAAACCAAAAGACTCCCAGCCATTCTAAGGACACTCGTATGAAACAGTCTAAAGTCACTACATGCATGCCAATTTGTGCATGCTTTGTAGCCTATCAGGTTCATTCAGCTCACATTTTATGGACAATCTGGTCACTGCCCTTCTATCTTGAAGAGGGAGAAGTAGCAGTAATAGTAACATGCAAGTACAGTTTACTGACCACTTAGTATGAACAAGGCCCTCTCCTAAGTACTTTACCTATGTTATTTAATTTCATTCTCACAATAAAAGGGTATTGCTATCTTCGTTTTACAGATGAAGAACCAGAGGTTTAGTAATTTACCCAAGGCCACACACTGTTAAGCAGACCTGGGACAAACTCAGTTCTAACACCAAAGCCACATTCATTCCACAACATCAACTTCCCTATGGTATAGATAAACCAATTATGTCCTAATTCGCCAACTTTTTTTTTCCTTTCAGTTTTTCTAAACCGCAAATCAATCCCTATTTTTTCTCCTAATTAAAAGTAACAAAACTTGTGATTTTGGAATTTGTAGCAGAATATTCTAGAAGAATTGCCATCCTCTCCACTTCACCATATACAACTACATTCCTCCCTTCTGCACTGCAGCCACACCAGTCTTGTTTCAGATCCTAAGGACACCAACTCACTGCAGTCTTCCAACTCCCAATTTGAGAAGCTTCACAAAATCTGTCTTCCCCACTGTGATGCTCCAAACCGCACCTCTGTCATGCTCCAGTTTTGACCTGGTTTACTCCAACTCACCCTTCAGTTCTTAAAGTCCTCCCAGAGCATACAATCTAAATTGATCCCACCCCCATGGTTATATCACAGCAGCTGTTATTTCTCTCCATGTAACTAACCCAGTTTGTAATTATATATGTGTTTATTTGTTGTAATGTCTCACTAAAATCTATACTCCATGACAGTAGGGATGACTTCTGTATGGTTTACCACTGCATACTTAGCACCTACAATATTTTGTGTCTAGGACAGAATAAGCATTCAGTAAATTAGTGAATAAATGAGTATAAAGATGGCATCATTCATTCACTCATTTGTACACTAATTTGTTGAGTATACGGTGCACAGATAATTGTTCAGCCCAGTAGTATCTACACAAAGCAGAAGCCCAATAACTAACTGACTAAATGACAGAAGAGAGTGGAACTCCGCCTGCTCTTCCTGTCAGTGTTCCCAGAGGCTTTACAGTTCAGGTCAGTGAGCTTTCAACATCCCTACTTTAAAGAGGGATGTTCTCAGGAACTATGTAGAATTACTCACCTCTGCAGCGAATACCCCCAGATGGCTATACGGATCTAACAGGTATGTCTGCTCTCTTTTTATCACAGTCATTACTAATCCTCATCTCTCCCCCCAAAAAAGTCCTCTTCTCTCCACGTTGAGCACAATTTTTATATCATTTTCTTCCTGCTTTGCTCTAACTTCCTTTTTCTTTTTTATTTCCCTTCCACTTCTAGGCTTTGGTACCCAGTGGGGTTTGGTTTTATAGGTATTCCCTTTCTTCTGGCTATGGAATTTATCCAACCTCATTTTATCTTTGGTTCCTCTCTACAGCACACACACTAGAAACTTCATTAGGGCCTTCCAGGACCAAGTGTGCCTTGAATAGGTAAGGCTGGCAGACATTCAAACTCCAGATAAGGAGATTGCCCCTTTCAAACACTTTGTTGAAAAGCTAATTCCATCATGTATCCAAGCAAGCCATACCCCAAGTGATACCTAAAGTCCAGCAAAATGATAAGTGGTTTTAAAATCAAACTTTTTTCTAGTGTCTAGTTTTATTTAAGAACTGTCAAGGA